GATAATCATACAAGAGCTTGTGATCCTCCAGTTTGCATTTCCCACTCCATAGATCGACGCTCTTTGGGTCAATCCCCTTTTCCGCTGCAAGTTCACTTTTAAGCTCCCACACATGTTTCATGGGGTCCACCATCTTCCTGTATGCGTTCGGATAGGGATCGTGGGCAAGTCCAGACTCGTTCGTATTAAGCTGCTGCTGCTGCTGCTGTTGTTGTTGTTGTTGGTATGGCCGATGTTGTGGCATGCGAGGCTGGTTTGTGTTAGCCTCTGCAGCCGCAGGGCTTGAGGTTGCCGTACCGGGCGAGATACCGGGCGAAATTTTGCCCGCCAGCACGTCCTTGTATCGCTGACGCAACGTCCGCGCGTCAAGGCAGTCGGAAAAGTTTACGCCTCGTTCATACAACTCCTTTGTGATGTCGGTGATCTTCATGTTGTCTGCGGGACTCTCGTTCGGCTCCACCTCCACTTCAATGGTCTCCACCTCAATCTCCTCCACCCTCATCTCCTCCACCGGTTTATGCGCGGTCCCTTGCACCCGCTCGGCCTCAACACGCTCAGCAGGGCGCTTGTCGTTCCCCAATGCCTTGGCAAGAGGCGGTGGTTCCACGATAAACTCATCATCGACCGTTTCATTCCCCTTCCCTCCCGCTGCAGCATCAGCAGCAGAAGAAGAAGAAGAAACTCCGACCTCCTCCGTTGACCGCGGGGGTGAGGCGAAGGAGGCAGCCTTCGTTGGAGCTTCGGTGCCCCATATCATTTTAAGCAGCGCATCCACCTCCGTCTGAATGGACCGCGCCTCATCCTGTAGGTTCGACAGGCGTGCCGTGTATGCCTTCATAGAAGCTGAAAGAGTTATGCTTTTCCCCTTAAAATTTTCGTCCTCGACGCTGGCACGTCTTAGGCCCTCCTGCACTGTCCGCATGGCCGCTCGCGACGCATCGCTCATGTCCGCTAAATCCAATCCTTGCCCTCTACACTCTTCCTTCAGCGCAGAAAGCTGCTTTGTAAGATTATCGCGTACCTCGCTGGTCATTGTAAGAAAACGCATATTAGTCGCCCTTGCAGCGTCAAAGACAAAAAGTCGACGAAGCATCATGAAAAAAAAAAAAAAAAAGAAAAAAAAAAAGAAAGATAATAGGCCTATATATATATATATATATATTCCCCCCGCTACAAATGCCCCCTTTTGCTCGCACCACAAAAGGAGGGTTATGCCTATGTATTTACTTATATTCTTCTTTGAGGGACTTCAGTGTAAACAACAGAATGGAAAGAAAAAAAGCAGCAGTGAAGATATACATTAAAAAACAACAAAAAAAAACACACACAATATCCTCAAACGCGGTATCATCTTTCCCGCACCACTTCTCGTCGCACATTCCTTTCCCACACGCTTACAGTAAATACACTTGTATTATGCACTGCATTTAGACGGAGACAAGGCAGAGTTCACTTCCCTCCACGCCATGTTGACTTAAAAAGGCCCTTCGCTCGGTATCGGTGCAGATGATACGCAATGTGAGTGAACATGTAGGGCATTGGGCGACATCGGCTCCAGCAGCAAAGTCTTTAACCGAAAGCTCGAATAGATCGCCGCAGGGGCACGGGTATCGCAACATCTCCCCTTCCACGCGCATCTCCGTCAGCTGCACCTCCTCGTAGTGAAACGTGTCCATCAATGCCTAAATGCACCGTGTCGCCAATAAATACTAATGGTAATGTGCAGCTACTAGCGGAAGAACCCGGCACTGTAACAATGCAGCAAGTCAAAAAGAAGAAAACAAAAATTGCCCCCCACCTCAAAAAAAAAGGGAAAAAAATAGTTGAATGAGCCCTGAAAATACAATCAACCGTCCACAGACCGCCCCACGCCTCCACCTAACAACAGCACCAACGAAAACAGTCAGCAAACACCACGCACAAGGAAGAGGATGACAAAACAACAGGAATAGAAGAAGGAAAAAAAAAAAAAAAAAGCATCCGGTATCACTTGTGACAGCAAAGAGGCCAAACCCCCGGCTACGCCAATTCAACTTCGTTTTCAATTTCTTTTGCAGCGATTAAAGTTGACCCCATCCCGTGAACATGCAGCGAGAACAATGACAAAAAGCAAAACCAGCACAACGAAAGCAATGAATACATAGATAAGAATACGGTGACAGAGATATTGGCGCTCCAGAGTCCTTGTGTTCTGTCGGAATGCCGAGGACTCTCCCTCCAGCGCAGAAGACTGTAATAATAACGCATCAATTCGATCCGCACGGTCCAGCAGTTTATCGACATTTGTGATCATTTCCCCCCGAACCTTCTCAACGTCGGAACGAATATCACGTATTTTAGTATTCAGTGTATTGTTAAACATCTCCACTTCCTTCCTTAACTCGGCAGCTAGAACAACAGGGTTTTTACTCCGAGAGTTACAGTGCTTTCGAGCAGCTTCCAAAAATTTCAAGGCGGTTGCACGACTGCAAGACTCCTCCGTCACGCACATGTACACCGTCCCGTCCCTGTGGGGCAGTATGTCGTAGGAGTAGCCATTGAAGGTGACACATTTCCTCTCAACAAGAGGCCCTTTGATGTTCGCAAGTATCTTTTTGGCTCCTCCAGCATGCATGCTCGGCACCGCCTGGAAATCGGCTAAAGGGACCCCCTCTGCGGATGCCACAAGGGCGTAACGAATCGTCACCATTATCAAGCACGCATAAAAAAATAATAATAATAAAAAATGCGCAAACCAAATAACTTCCCAACCAACACGCACGACTACGCAGAGCTCACATGCACAACAACAAAAAAGGAAAAGAAATATATATATATATATATATATATATATATATATATATATATATATATATATATCGGATAAAGAAGCCCAGCAAGAAAGCACCATCGACAATCATCTCCTTCCATCGGCATTCTTCTCGTTTTGCTCCGAATGGTATCAAAAGAGCTCGCATGTAAGTAACACCCATAGATGAAAGCAGTTTTTTAAGAAAAAAAAATCACACAAAAAAAAATATATGAAAAAATTTTTTTTCGTTCAGCCTCTGAAAGCCGTCTCTGCCTTTATTTTGGGATCCACCTCCAGCTGCTGCGAGTTGTACCTCCAGTTTGACAGCCACCTCTGAAACCACATCAGCGCCACGGAAGGCGTCGCCCCCAACATCGCATCCCGCACCGTTGAGTACGACAAACTAGTGAAGCGGCGGGCCCGACGTGATTGGCGAATATAACGCTCTGCACGATCACGTCGCAGTGTTTCAAACTGCTTAAAGACGTACTCAAATCCCGCGTCGCTGTGCAACGGGACATCGAGAAGCGATGCGGCCAAAAGGGCTGCGTCCTCAACGCACAACGAAGCATCCTGCGCAAGGAAGGAAGGCAAGGAGCCATGCGCAGCCTCTCCAATTAGCACCGCACGCTTATTGAACCATCGCGGCATAACAGGAACCTCAACCAGTTCGGTGGGCACAGCCACCTCCGCTCGCTGCAGAAGAACAGTAATATCATCACCGAACGCCGCAAATTCGCGGTGTAGCAAAGCACGATAGACATCCCGCACAGCCATGGCGTCCGTTTCGCTGTGAATATCCACAACTTCCATGGGTGGATCGTAGAGAGTGGCTGAAAAGGCCAATTGAACCTTTCCGTCGCAGTAAAGTGGCACACATGATAGCACACGCCGCCTGCCCCAGACCTCGACAGGATAGTCTCCGGTGGGACAAACATCATGGCCAAGCTCCACAAACCCATCCACCTGCGTCATTCCCAGTGAACGGGAGCTGGTACCAATATATTCGCTTGGGTACAGAAGCCTCCGAATCGTGCTGTGTGCACCATCTGCCCCCACAACAACATCCCCCCACTCTGTTTGACCATTCTCTAAAACAACGTGTACACCGCCCTTGATACCATCGTGCGGCAAAAGATCCACGGCTCGACTATTGAAACGCACATCCTCCACATGATAACGAAGAATTCGGCGGAGATAATCCGCAGAGAATGTTGCGCGAAGCGGAACGCTACCAAGCTCTTGCTTCATCTTCTCCTGAATACGCTGGGATACAATGGACTCACTGTTGGCGGGTGGTGCGGTGCTGAGAGGTATCATCTCCCCGTCGCCTAAAGCTCTCAGGTGCACCATCCGGTTGCGCACGCGTAGCAACCATCGGAGACGCTCGTCCAAGATCCCAAAATAGTCCTCTGAAACAACATCACCCCCGCTTAACACGTGATCCATTCCAAACGCCTTGTAACAACTTAACGCATTTGCAAACAACGTAAAAGGCATCTGATAATTTGCCCGCAAAAACGGTGCCTGTTCCAAGACGACGCAATCAACGTTCAAACGACGCAGAAAGGCTGCAAGAGACAGACCCGAAAGCCCAGCGCCCACAATAACTACTCTCATCCTTCTACCTATCGCTCTCTAAATACATTCCCATTTCATAGCATCAAAAAAGGAAAATACATATACAAATAATAATAATGAACAAAAAAAAAACAGTAATAATGATAACTTTATACGTATCTACTTCAAATTGTAAAGTAAAAAAAAAAACTATAATAGCAGTATGGTTTAATGACACGTTGGAGAATAAACCAGGCACACCGAAAGAAAACTGGTTTCTCTCATGCAACACCAAGCAATCGCCCTTCTATTCCACAACAATAATTTCCCCATTCAAGTTGTAGTTTGTCCTCAACTGTCACAGAAGCGTCCAACGAACGACCCACATGCAATCTCACCGGTGCCTCCGCAGGAATATTCTTGCGAGCCCTACAACATACTCTAACCTCACCCGCCTTCGTTACTGACTCGATAAAGAGAGAAGCGTTTGACGCCGCCCTTAAAGGAACTTTTGCCACCTTTCGTGAGAAAGAAAGAAAACAACTTAGCGATGCCACCCCTGCGTCTACCGGATCATGAAGTGGTAGACTGCCTTCCTGCATGGCAATAAGTAGCCAGCTGGCTGCTATTGGTGTGAACGGAGAAGCCCCCTTCATTTTTTCATAGCTCTTCACCAAAAGTGTCGACAACGATACCGCCACGGAGTCTGAGTGCAAAGATATGGATCGCGGCTCAACAAGCATGGTTGCAACGGCAGGGCAACGACTCCCCGCTAACAGCAGTGCACGAGCAAGTGCGCTGAACCCCACGGACCACACCGTCACTTTTTCGCCCCCTTTGGAGACCATAGCGTTCCATACCATCAAAGCCGTCTTATTCCACTCCATGTCTTCCGTCAACATCAAAAGTCGACCGCCGCCTTCACCAACACCAAAGACAAAGAGGCACTCCGACCACAATACCTCCCCCTCTTCCACAGGCCGTGATGTTACCCATTGCGTGGGGGCACCCCTGCCCACAACAAGCGGTGCCAATGTTCGTCCATCGCTTGCTGTTATAAAGCCTGCCGGCGGTACGCAGCCAATCATCCCTTTAAAAACATTTTATTCCATCAACAAAATATGTATACATATATATGTGCAAAGAGAAGAAGAGAAGAGAATAAATAAATTAAAAAAAGCAATAGTAAGCAAAAAAAAAAAAACAGCACAGCACAAATACCTGAGAAGCATGTTGTAACAATAATAATACATCTTTAATAAAGAAATTTAAGAAAAGAAAAGTCTAAAATAAACAAAAAAAAATCCCATAGATAGTGTTTGTGCATAAGGAAATACATATCCTGACATGCCGTAGAATATGATCCATATAATTATTCCTCCCAAAGACCGCTGCTGTAAAAGGAAGGCTCCAGTTTACCAGGTGAGTCCACTGTGTTTTCTGTTATGAGTGGGTTCTCTTCAGATGGTGCTTCTGTATCCACCTCACCTGTTTCGGCAGAATCGTCAACCTCCATTTCAATGTCATGATCATCGTTTGTGGGAAACGGCGTCTCTTTCTTTGTCGGAACAGTCTCCCCCGCTTCTGCTTCCTCATTATCCTTCGGTGTGGGGGCCTGCTCCCCAGCGTCGTCATTGTGCTCCTCTTCAGCATCTTCATGCTTTTGGCATTCCCCTCGAATTACAAGCGACCCCTCTAACACTTTCTTTGCCAAAACAATACTTCTCGCCATGGCACTTGTTTCATCTCCTGAAGGATTGGGCATTGGCAGCGTCAGTCTTTCCTCTGCACAGCCGACACGTGCAAGAACGACCGTGTCATCTGTTAGCTGAAGCAATTCCCAGCCAAAAAGACGACAGAGAAGAGTACATCTCTGTGCTGCCTCCTGGGAGACCCGGTCCTCTACTGCTTGCAGCAAAGAATTAAACACAGGGCTCTCCTGAGGCCGGCTCATCTCCCCAACAGCGGCTTCATAACGCCGCTTCCACTCCTCCATTTCCAGTCGTTGGGCATTCAATTCACCGCGTAACGCCATTATCTCCTGGTCCTTTTCAGACTGCCGATCAAGGAGAACGGAAAAATCAGTATTCGAAGTGCGCTGTCGTTTTTCGCCAGGAAAAGAAGAGAAATTTGCGCAAACCACCGGGTCAACTTCTCTCACACGCCGTCTATATTTGCCACGAAGCCCATTAAGCTTACGACCTGCCCGTGCCAATTTTTCGACATCCTCCATCAATCCGATCACTGCGTCTCCACCTTCGTAGAAGCGACGGCTGACCTCAAGTTCAAGTGACCTCTTACGTCTCTCCATTACTTCCAACTGCTGATCAAAGCAGCATTGCTGGGTGGCCAGGTAAGCCATGGTGTTCTCCACTTCTCTCAATGCGGCCTGTCTCTTCGCAGCGCGCAGAGATAGTAATTCACTGTAGAGGGGTACCACACTATCCACTCCCTCCTTTGCAAAAACCACGCGCACCTCCGCCATCTGCTCTTGCAGCATTCGAAGCTCATGTTCAAGTTCCTGCATGCGCCCTGTCTTATCCTGTAAGGGCGATGGTAATGAAGATGTCTGCTGCGAAGCAGAAAACCGCACGTTCGACCTGGCAGCCGGCATCGTTGGAATTGAACATGTCGTTTCTGCTGCATCTGTGGCCGTCAACAATGTCTCTTTCTTTTCGGTTAAACCCTGAAGAAGGGCATCAGTCTTTGCTATCGATATCTGCAGCTCCGATAGCCACTCAGGTTCAGCCTTTTCATCCAACACGGCAATTTCTGACGCTGACTCCTTCCCGTGCATTGGATAAGACTGACAAGCTATCAATTTATGAAGAACGTTGATTGTATTTTGAGCGAGTCCTGTAATTCTCTCAATATAACTTCGCTGAATATCCTGACGACTCTTTTGCAGCATATGATGGGCAAACTCATCCCCGGCGATTGTGTGCATAAGACCCATAATGCCACTCCGCAGCAGGTTGCTCACAGATTCCTCCACCTGCTTCTCTGTGTTTGTGCCAACTGTACAGATAGTACGTGCCATCGCCGCTGGTGGTGGTGGTGGGTGACGGCCGCATTTCTCATTGGATGATCCCAAAGAAGTGAAGGAAGAAGAGCGGACCAAATCTTCAAGTGGGGAGTTTGCCGAGCTCGTACGAAGCGACTCCTCTGTGTCTTCCATGACGTATACATCACTGCTGTGACTAGACATCGGCTTCACTGAGACAAACTCCACATGAGTCGTGTTATAAAGAAAAGGAAAAAACGAAAACGGAAGAGACGTCAACTTCAACTTTAAGAGCGAAAAACAAAAATAAATAAATAAATAAATAAATAAAGGAAGCAATCGGCACACATCGATAAATCCGCAAATGCCTCATTAAAGCAACGGGGATAACAATTATCCATAAGCAACTTTTTAATGTGCTGCGCCATAAATCTCACCCTATTCCTTTTCCCGCCGCAAAAAAAAGGAAAAAGGAAAAAGGAAAAAGAAGGAGGAAAAGAGAAAAGAATGCCAAAACCAAAGCAGGAACCAACACTCACTCCACTGCCACTCAATCCTGCTCCTTGAGACATTGCAGTACACGTTCCCAACGCCTCCTCTCGTCATCTGAAAACCGCCAACGGCCGACAGCAACTTCGTCCCCTTCGGGATTTGTTTGCATCTCCATATCTTTCTGCGCTGATATCATCGGCCGCCGCAGGTCCACTTCACGAACAAAAAAACGTTGTGACGCCTTGTTAAGATGGTGGAAATGTCGCCGTACTCGTTCCTGGGTCAGTTGCATCTGAAGCTCCTCCATGGCAATGTCATCCACCATTTCCCCTTCAAGTAAAGAACGTTGAGAAGCCTCGGCCGCCGCATCATCGTCCTTGCGAGACGCACTTTTCACTGCCCTTTGCTCCTCCAACAAGTACCGCTGTGCAACCTGGCGCATCTCCCTCCTCACGTCCTCGGAGGTGATGCAATCCCACCGCACATCTCGAACCCTTCGAAGTGCCGCTTGCAACTCTTCCTCAGGATCACATGGCACCACCTCCTGCGCCCGCCACAGATGCGTTTGCTTCGCCTTGTCATAGTGGCAGGTGGCGGAGAAGGTCACGTACGATCCAGGCAAAGGTGTTGGCGGAGAAGCCGCGCCCTCCGACTTCCCCCGCGTCTCAGTTGTAGAGGCCTCACCTTTACGCAGAAGGAACCAAACACTCAAAGGATCTCCTCGGCTCAACGGCTGTGATACACTCGCCGTAATTTGCGCGTCTTCCCCGATCTCTTCCATCGTTGTGGATGATGCTGGATGCGGGGCCGTCGACAGAAGCGAAGCAGGAGGTGGCACGGCGAGAACAAAGCCGTACCCCCGGTCAGGAAACACTTTGTGCACAACACCAATCATGCGCACCGGCAACGCCTTGGCGACCGTGGAGGCATGTCGCCGCCCGCTCCTGCCGACACGTAAGACACAATCAAAACGCCACAAACGCATCCCTCTCTCTCTTACACTACTCTTTCCCACACACACACAAAAAAAAAAAAAAAAAAATTCACACATCAAACAAAAGATAAGGATGTATATATACATATATATATATATACTGCATCATGGTATATTATTCATCACACCGTTTTTACATAATCAAATCCTCCTACCCAAAAAACACAAGCAACCAGAAAAAAAAAAACAGTCAAAACAACATGCACCGATCATACACAAACCGCACCCCACAGTCTACTGTGAACCAACAAAAAAAAAAAAAAAAAGTACCAGAAATATATAAAACAAAGCCCTTCAATACAAACTATTATAAGCACATAAATTTAACAACACATATATCGTGAGAAAAACAAATAACAAGCCCTCGTCTCCTCCTAAAAAAAAAAAAAAAAAAAAAACTCCACAATAAACCCCAAAATGCAGACTGTAAACGCCAAACAACAAGGACAGATAAACACATATATATATATATATATATATATATATATACATATTTCGGCACATTTGACGGCATCATGACAATAACAATGAAACATAAAAAACATGGAGGGCTCTCTGAAAGTAATCAATGCCATGCTTTCGTTCAAAAAAATAAACGACAACGAAGCAACAGCACAACTGTTTAAAAAGCAGAGAAAAGGGTCAGCGTCAACCTGGCCATCCAGTGCGGCGTGAGACAGTCAAGGTACAAAAACAATTATTACCATCAAAAGCACAGTCCGGGCAGTGACGGCCGTCTGGCAAAGCGCTGCCGCCAAAATAAAATAAAATAAAATAAAAGGCAAAACAACAAAAAAGCAAATAAATAATAAATACAAATAACACACACAGAAAAAAAAACACGGCGAGCTCCACACAAACGCCGTGTGCGCGGATCCGAGCAACGGCAGAAAGAACACCACATGGAATGCGGGAGCTACGCAGTGCGGTCTCGCCCCGACATCCACAAGATAACCCGCTCCACTGAAATCTGTGGCTTCAACGACAGCAGCAGCTTAAAGATGCCATTCTCAAATGCGTTTCTGTCATTGCCACGCGTCAGCAGGAGGACCCGCACAAGCAGGAAGGCCTCAACGTCACCCCCAAGCAGCTGCTTCAGCCCCTCGCACTCCGCATGGTCGCCCAGGACCTCCTCCAGCACCTGCAACACGTGCTCCGCGGTCACGCCTTTCTGCCCCGGCGCCTCCTCCTCCTCCCTCGGCGCCGCCGCAGCGTCCTCCACCACGGCACGGGGGGAAGCGGGCACAATGGGGGCAGCGCACGGCACGGCATTCCGCCTCGGCGTCGCCTTCCGGGGCCGCGACGGCGCTTGCGGACGCGGGGACGTGCGGCGCACCGGCGAGATGGGGGAGAGGCGGCGCAGTGGGGAGCACCCATCGTCCCGCACAGGCGAAACCCTCGCCACCTCGCCGCACACAGGAATGCCATTCGCCCGCACATAGGTCGTGAGGCGCGTCGCAAAGCCCGTCAGCAGCTCGTACGCCGTCGGACGCCCCTTCTCCCTCTTGCAAAGGCACGACCCCACAGCGCGCACAAGACAGCTGTCATAGCGGCCCTCCGCCAAACGACGCAGGCGCGGCATCGGGTCGGAGTGCAGTATCGCGTAGAACGACTGGCGATCCGTGAAATCCTTCTCCCAGAACGGCCGCTGCCTCGTCATGAGCTCAAAAAACGTCACGCCAGCGGAGAAAATGTCCGTCTTGGTGCTGTACGCCTCCCCAGCCACAATCTCCGGTGAACAGTAGCACGGCGTGCCAACGCGCGTCTTGGCCAGCTCCACCGTGCGTTCCACCGGGCGCGCCAGCCCGTAGTCGCCCACAAGAGCCCTCGCCACGCCCCCACAGCCGCTCTCGCCGCGCACAAGGAAAAGGTTCGCCGGCTTGATGTCGCGGTGAATGATGTGGTGCGCGTGGCCGTGATTCAGCGCCGAGAAGATCTGCAGCATCACCATCATCACCAGGTCGTTCGGAACGTACTCGTCCCTCTTCTTGTACTCGAGAATCAGGTCGTGGAGATCGCCGCCGTCGCAGTACTTCATGGCCAGGCACACACTCCCGTCGTGTTCCCCGCCGCCAGCCTCCACCCAGGCGCCCACATAACTCACAATAAACGGGTGCTTCAGCACGCGCACGGCATTGATTTCCTTCAGGATCGTCTCCAGGTGGCCTGCGGGAAACAGATCCTTCTGCATCACCTTCACCACAAAGTGAGACGGGTACGAGAACTGATTCGACTCATCCGACTGACTCACAGGAGCGGCAAGGTACACGCGGCCGTTCGCCCCAGCTCCAAGCAGCTTGGAGATCACCACCTCTCGCCCCAGTATGCACCGCTCACGCAGCCTCTCCATCCGACACTTCCCCACACACTCTATATATGTATAGATATGTATATGCTTCTGTGTATGTGCCCTTGTGTCCCGTGGCAACAAATATTCCCTCTTCTACGTGTTTGCTCTTCTTCAGATAAGTCAATAAGCACGCCCAAAGTGTGTGGCACAAACTAACGAAGAAATCAGCAACGACGGGAGAGGACAGTCCGTGCAGGCAAACACTCACGGGAAAAAAGTAGCAGCAATAGAAAAAAAAAAAGAAGAGCGATAAAGAAAAGGGAAAAAAGACACTGTCGCGGTGACCGCAAGTCTCATTTCATGAGAACAGCTTCAGCAAGGCAGCCGCGTGCTCGCCCACCAGGCGGCCGCGGCGCTGCATCGGCAGCAGAAAGTCTGCCGACAATGCAACTCGCGTAATCCAGCGTGCACTCCACCTCAATCCGCCAACGCTGCAGTCGCTCCTCCAGCAGCAAACGCCGCATAGCATGTGTTGCTTGCACAGTGACGCTGCACGGAGCGGTAAGTCTTCCGCTCATCTGCTGCAGCCTATCAATCGTGCAAAGAAGTGGCTCCACCACGACCAACAGAGCGTTCAAAAGACCACGCAGCAGCAATACCCACTCCGTCGGAGCGTCCCCCGCGCAACAGGACGAACCTCCACCATTAGGTGGCTCCTCCCCTCGCTCACGCCCCCGTAGGGCCTGCCAACGCCGGAACAACAGGCTTTTTCCCTCCCACCCAAATGATTACACAGGCGCCCAGAGTTGCAATTTACGTAGCGCCTGTGTCATAGAAACCCCAATCTAAAGGCATTATTAACGCGCACAATGTTGCTTAGTGATAAATAAGACAGTTAAAGTGCGGTTGTTGGCTTTGAGGCGTTTGTTTTCTAAAGTGCAGAAACTTTTAAACGGCTAGGCGTAAAATTGCTTACTCAATGAAACTCTTGGGTTGCTTTGAAGCCGCTCATTGTGCGATGCGTGCGCGCAACTATCGCTGCGTAGGGGGTGGTCCAGTTCCCAAAGAAACTTCTGCCTTTTTTCACTCTCATGACGCAGCAATCTTTCACGGAAGAGTTGCTCTTCAAGAAGCAATTCTCCCCGACGAGTATCCAGCGCCAGTTGTATAAGCTGCATGGCACACCGACGGTTTTCGTCAGATGCCTGAAGCAGCTGGGTGCGCAGCCTTTGCCGCTCTTTTTCACTGTGGCGAAGTGCCTCCTCCACGTCTTCTAGTCGGGAAAGAAGAACGGCGTTGTGCTGCAGCAGACTTTCTGCGGTAGCCGAACTGACGGGCGTCGGTTTTCTCCAACTGCTTTCCGTGTGCGAGTCATAAGGCTCACAAAGAGGGCTACCAATCCGCAGACGATCCTTTATTCTCTGAATGCGTGCTTCCTCCTCGGGCGGCAGGGTGTTTCTTCGTCGCCTCTGCTCCTGCAGCCAGACCTTCACCGACGCTCTCATCCACTCTAATACCCGGGAAGAAGAAAAGGAAAAAAGGAAAACAATTAGACATGATACTTAAAAAAAAAAAAAAAAAAAAAACATACACGGTATTCTAATCCCCCTATTTTATATTCAAAACGGTTCCATTTCTAAATACGATGCGTTCCTGCTTTTGATCAACTGCCTCACTACTGGGAGTGCATGAGCAAGGCATCAAGCTTTGCCTGCACCTTGTCAAGTTCACAGAAGAGCATATAGGCCTCCTCGGGCCCGACAACAACCTCCACGCCACAAGGATATTTGGCAGTTGCGGGAAGTGCTAGCAAGGACTCCACGCGGTGCTCATTGTCTTGAAGGTTCAAACCTTCCTCTGACATGTTCCCTTCCGCCACCACAACACGCGATCTCGAGGCAAGAAAAAGTGGCACGCGTTCCAACGCGGCGTCTCCACAGGTTGCCATGCTGCAAAAGTCTGCGACGGTCCGGCGCCGCGCCTGTGCCATGACGCCTCGGCCATTCTTCATCCACACTTCCACAATGACGTCTGCGGTCTGCGGGGCAACGCCGAATTGCGGCGACAGAAGAAACTGACGCGCCGTGTCTGCGTCTCGTATGTACTCGGCGCATAGCTGCCTAAAAAGAAAAAGAAGGGCATTTACAAGCATTGCATTACTCGTCTCCTGTGGGCCATCGGAAAATGTACACCGCGTTGGCTCATCGGCTGCAAGTTTTTCTCCAGCAACAGCAGCTGCGGAAAGCAGCTCTTCCTTCGAGGTGTTGTCCATCATTGCGGCGCACTGACGCCATGTTTCTGTTGCACTCAACATTTCCTCCCCGCCCCGCTCCTACACTTATGTGATAAGAAGAAAGAAAAAAACAAATGCATGCAAACACATGGCTATCCAGTAAAACAACACAAAAAAAAAAAACTTTTTCTTAAAGTAAATATATATATATATATATATATAAAGTAAAGTAATTCGTGGCAAAAACAACAACAACAACAACACACGCACATTAAGAGAGGAAGAAAGCATGAATAATCAATTGGTAAACATAACGTCCTGTCCCCGTGTCTCCATTCGTTATATGCATATATATGTATGTATGTGTGTATAGGGGGGGGGGGGGAAGAAAACAGAAAAAAAAAACACTCCGGGACTGCTTTAGATTGTTTCCACCACAACCACCAGCTGTAGGACACACGTCTTGTTACCCTCCCTCCCTCCCCCTACGCTAATGAAAAGTGTGGTTTCCCTCCTTTCAACGGAGAGATAAAAAAAAGATAAAAAAAGGCCATATAAACATATAACAATAATAATAATAACAATAAAACAATTACACACGCACGAACGTTACAAGAGAGTAACAAAAAAAAAAAAAAAAAAAAAACGCATAGCCACAGTGTCATAGGAAGAAAACACGTAAAAAAAACTTGGCAAAAACTTCTTCTAGCTCCTTCTCCTTCTTCCCTTTTTGTTTGTTTGCTTGTTCCCATCCCCACCTCTGTTTGCGCCTCCATCCATCCCGCAGAAACTTCAGAATCAAACGGCATTCTCATTGCTATCAAATATTTCCACTTCCTGCGCACACACGACGCTCTTCGGCATCCAAATTGCAGATTGGGCACCAAGACGGCATCAAAGAATGCGAAGCGTGCAGTGCCGCAATTTGCATTTATTTTCTCTCATGCACCGTCCCCCTCTCCACACCCACACACACATACGAAAAAAAAAAAAAAAGTGGTTGCGCCAACATCAATCATTGCTATTTATGTCTTATTTCTTCTTATTTTTTGTTTTATCTTTTTAATCTTTTTTTTTTTTTTTTTTCGTACCAAAGAATAAAAAGGAATGAGGAAGAATGCTCTCCCCTACATCGTCTTTGGTGCATGTATGGTGGGTGATTTCAACGCCCAACTGCCAGTTCCCGTCTTCTGTGTGCATCGTAGCCCCCTCCAAGCCACCCCAGTTGGTCACATCAAAAGTAAATCCTCCTCCCGCCCCATTTGGGATGCAGGCGTCTCCAGAGGTTTCGCCCGGTAATTTCTTATAAACTCTGACAACCCAAAGACATGTTCCGCCGCAAGAACCCACTGCCATACAGATGCGATTAAAAGCGGGATCATGGGCCAGAGAAGGCGTGCCTCTGCCGTGTACAAGCTCCTCATGTTAGTTCCAATAACAAACTCCACAAACCTCTCCAACTGAAATATACCGGCCACACACGCCAGAAGGAATGCATCCGCCGCGCCCCAAGAAGCAAGCAGAGCCAACCGTGGGTAAAATGCAGCATAAAAGAGCGGAGCAATGCCGATAGTAAACACACATGTCAGAAGAAGCGAAGTGGACGCGGAAGAAAGCTCATACAGCGTCATATTCCGGTCATTTGGCTGAATAAGAGTAGCGGCACCTCTCACCCGGTAGCTCAGACATGGCGTTATCCATGGCGGTAAAATACAAGCGGCAACAAACAAAGCATTGAGTACACGCCAAAACAGGGATCGAAAATTACTTCGAGGGGTATTTGGCATCTCCACGACATGCCTCTCATTCACAGTTAACGAAACCAAAAGTAACGCTTCATCTGGAACTTCCTTCATGGATCGGGCTATTGAATTGGATCGCATACGAAGCGACGTGTTGCGACGCCAAAAAGTTGTGGCGTAGTTACCGGTAAAAACACAAAGAACCGTTGCCGCAAGAAAGACGTAAAACCCAGCAATAATCTTCACATCTGCAATTCCCTCCATCTGCAGGCCACTAGACATAACCACCATCGCATATGAATCCAGAAATGAGAGTTTCCCAAAATAATCAATCACCTTCAATACCATCGACTCCGGCTTCTGAAGAACAAGTGTGCAGGTCATAATAGTAAACAGTTTAAGGTACGGATAAAGCCCACTAAAAACAAAAACCAGTACCGCAAATGGCCTCAGACCGGCTTTGTAAAGATTCGTAGACGTCTCCATGAGAGAGAAGGACAGCAATGTCACTTCATCACCAGCAACAATCCTTGCGGCGGTGGTGCAATTTGACCATAGAAACGCCAGCGCGTTTACCACAATCATCAGAATCAGTAGCGTATCCTCCAACAGCACACGCCAAAGTGGTATGATGCTTCCATCAAGCAAATACACAGGGGATTTACGATGTTTCCTGATGCTCAAAAAAGTTGACCCAAATACCAGTGCAAAACCAACAAGCACAGAAGGAACGATTACTTCTGTTGGAGGCACAGAAACAATATCTGGAGATTCCTTTATAGGGATTTGAAAGCGATTGTCGGTTGTATTACAAAAGGGAATTATCATGGAACTAAAAAGTTCATTAATTCTCTGCATAACAAAAGGACCAATGTAGTTCACAACAAGCCGATCCCACTCATTCAAACCATATAGACGCAGATTTAGCAGCTCAATTCCATTGGTACATGGTAGACTACAGTAGAACCCGTCAGTTCCGCAAGTAAGATTATACATTGAGATATCTACCGACATATTAAAAGGGCGCGGTGTTCGAATTTTTATACCAAGATCTTCAGCGCCAGCAGAAGGTCCAGCTTCATTCCACACAACAGGAACATCAAAAAGCGCATCCAATGTTGACTGAAACATCTCCGGCAAAAAGCCAAACCCACTAGTATTCCATGTCATGTTGGTTTTTGAAAATTCAAATCCATGAGAAAAATTCAAATGCAGTTGAATTGTCGTATTGGAAGGCTCAGTTGCTTTCAGTCGTATACTCAAAATGTCCGGCAGATTATTCAAAATGTTCAACAGCCCACGAAAAATAGTTGAACCATTTAAAGGAGTAGCGCCGTGGACAAAAGGGAGAAGTGGTTCCGGTAGATTCACCGTTTGATTCTTCAGCTCATCCTCAAAGTGGGGGACAAGAACGTCACAAAAGTAAACACCCGAATTTTTCTTAATTGTTTCCTTCAACAAAGATATCAGCGCTTCAAGCATTGGATCAGGAGGGTCGAGCCGGACGTTATCCAATGTCATACTAAACACGCAGGCGTCCTTGGTAAAAACGGCATTGGAGCACTGATCATCCGAGGATCTCAAGAGAGACACCGCACTTGGGGACACGTCAACATCCGTGTAGAGTCGAGAACGAACGCGGCCCATTTCAATGTCTACAGCGCATGAGAGCAAAGATCTCTCTGAAATGCCAATAGACCACAGTGACGAATTGAACGAGCCATTCGACGGCCCAATCCGTGCATTCCCACAGGACAAGTTGGACACGGTCGCAATGCCAAAACTCTCTTTAAAATCAGGCAAAGTGGTGTTCGTGAACAGTAAAGAACTCCACAAAACCAACAGCGATACGCACGTAGACAACATCATTTATTAACAAGAACCAGTCCGCTCTGCAAACACACACACACACACAAAAAAAAAAAAAAAAAAAAACACGCAGAAATAAAGAAATAAATAAATATTAAAGAATTCCACTAAACAAAAAAATCCTAAACATAAGGCATGAAGTGGATGAAATTAAAAAAGAAAAAAAGGGAAAAAATTAAAAAAGTAAAATACATGCGTATGGAAGGCACAGAGACCGTCATTCACCCACGACAAGTCGTAGACAAATAAAGAAAAGCATCCGCAAGAAAAAAGCCCACAGAGAAAGTTTGATGCCCCCCACAGGCAATATTACACAATTACGTACCGAAAACAAAAAAATATCACAATTCCCACACGCTCCCTCACTTGCGTGTGCCAACTGCCCGCTTCTTCGAGCTTCTCGTCCTTTTGGTGCGTTCATGACGCTCCTTCAATGCGCCACGAGCAGAAGAATCTTTGCGCAGCAACTTCACGGCCACCTCACGCACCTCCGTCCCCATCTTTCCCACGGCACTGGGCACCTTGCTACGCTGGGCATAAGCGACAGCTGCCTTGATATTGGCAGCCTTATTACTCCTCTGTCGCAGAAGCAAAATGCGCTTCGATACCTCCTCCTCCAGAACGACAGGCGAATTCAGCGACCGATTCTCAACGGCAGCCAAATTGGCAGCATCTGTTTGTTCCGTCTCCTCGTGTACCAAGCGTGCCAAACGTCGACCCTCCTCAAGTGACACGACCCTACCAGCAGGAAGCTTCAGCCGCGGCTGCAACGTGGACTGTCGCAGCAGCTGCTTTGTCACAATACTCCGCACACTCATTAGAAAACAAACAATAATAATAACAATAAATTTTTTCCTTAGAATCCAACTTTATTCAGAACCCTGAGAAACTAAAACAGCTTCACAAAGGCAACATACAAAGAACAAAAGAAAACAAAAAAAAAACACTCCACAATAAACCCCAAAATGCAGACTGTAAACACCAAACAACAAGGACAGATAGACACATATATATATATATATATATATATATATATATATATATATATATATACATTTCGGCACATTTGACGGCATCATGACAATAACAATGAAACATAAAAAACATGGAGGGCTCTCTGAAAGTAATCAATGCCATGCTTTCGTTCAAAGAAATAAACAACAACGAAGCAACAGCACAACTGTTTAAAAAGCAGAGAAAAGGGTCAGCGTCAACCTGGCCATCCAGTGCGGCGTGAGACAGTCAAAGTACAAAAACAATTATTACCATCAAAAGCACAGTCCGGGCAGTGACGGCCGTCTGGCAAAGCGCTGCCGCCCAAATAAAATAAAATAAAAGGCAAAACAACAAAAAAGCAAATAAATAATAAATACAAATAACACACAAAAAAAAAAAAAACACGGCGAGCTCCACACAAACGCCGTGTGCGCGGATCCGAGCAACGGCAGAAAGAACACCACATGGAATGCGGGAGCTACGCAGTGCGGTCGCGCCCCGACATCCACAAGATAACCCGCTCCACTGAAATCTGTGGCTTCAACGACAGCAGCAGCTTAAAGATGCCATTCTCAAATGCGTTTCTGTCATTGCCACGCGTCAGCAGGAGGACCCGCACAAGCAGGAAGGCCTCAACGTCACCCCCAAGCAGCTGCTTCAGCCCCTCGCACTCCGCATGGTCGCCCAGGACCTCCTCCAGCACCTGCAGCACGTGCTCCGCGGTCACGCCTTTCTGCCCCGGCGCCTCCTCCTCCTCCCTCGGCGCCGCCGCAGCGTCCTCCACCACGGCACGGGGGGAAGCGGGCACAATGGGGGCAGCGCACGGCACGGCATTCCGCCTCGGCGTCGCCTTCCGGGGCCGCGACGGCGCTTGCGGACGCGGGGACGTGCGGCGCACCGGCGAGATGGGGGAGAGGCGGCGCAGCGGGGAGCACCCATCGTCCCGCACAGGCGAAACCCTCGCCACCTCGCCGCACACAGGAATGCCATTCGCCCGCACATAGGTCGTGAGGCGCGTCGCAAAGCCCGTCAGCAGCTCGTACGCCGTCGGACGCCCCTTCTCCCTCTTGCAAAGGCACGACCCCACAGCGCGCACAAGACAGCTGTCATAGCGGCCCTCCGCCAAACGACGCAGGCGCGGCATCGGGTCGGAGTGCAGTATCGCGTAGAACGACTGGCGATCCGTGAAATCCTTCTCCCAGAACGGCCGCTGCCTCGTCATGAGCTCAAAAAACGTCACGCCAGCGGAGAAAATGTCCGTCTTGGTGCTGTACGCCTCCCCAGCCACAATCTCCGGTGAACAGTAGCACGGCGTGCCAACGCGCGTCTTGGCCAGCTCCACCGTGCGTTCCACCGGGCGCGCCAGCCCGTAGTCGCCCACAAGAGCCCTCGCCACGCCCCCACAGCCGCTCTCGCCGCGCACAAGGAAAAGGTTCGCCGGCTTGATGTCGCGGTGAATGATGTGGTGCGCGTGGCCGTGATTCAGCGCCGAGAAGATCTGCAGCATCACCATCATCACCAGGTCGTTCGGAACGTACTCGTCCCTCTTCTTGTACTCGAGAATCAGGTCGTGGAGATCGCCGCCGTCGCAGTACTTCATGGCCAGGCACACACTCCCGTCGTGTTCCCCGCCGCCAGCCTCCACCCAGGCGCCCACATAACTCACAATAAACGGGTGCTTCAGCACGCGCACGGCATTGATTTCCTTCAGGATCGTCTCCAGGTGGCCTGCGGGAAACAGATCCTTCTGCATCACCTTCACCACAAAGTGAGACGGGTACGAGAACTGATTCGACTCATCCGACTGACTCACAGGAGCGGCAAGGTACACGCGGCCGTTCGCCCCAGCTCCAAGCAGCTTGGAGATCACCACCTCTCGCCCCAGTATGCACCGCTCACGCAGCCTCTCCATCCGACACTTCCCCACACACTCTATATATGTATAGATATGTATATGCTTCTGTGTATGTGCCCTTGTGTCCAGTGGCAACAAATATTCCCTCTTCTACGTGTTTGCTTTTCTTCAGATAAGTCAATAAGCACGCCCAAAGTGTGTGGCACAAACTAACAAAGAAATCAGCAACGACGGGAGAGGACGGTCCGTGCAGGCAAACACCCACGGGAAAAAAGTAGCAGCAATAGAAAAAAGAAGAAGAGCGATAAAGAAAAGGGAAAGGAGACACTGTCGCGGTGACCGCAAGTCTCATGTCATGAGAACAGCTTCAGCAAGGCAGCCGCGTGCTCGCCCACCAGGCGGCCGCGGCGCTGCATCGGCAGCAGAAAGTCGCTGACAATGCAACTCGCGTAATCCAGCGTGCACTCCACCTCAATCCGCCAACGCTGCAGTCGCTCCTCCAGCAGCAAACGCCGCATACCATGTGTTGCTTGCACAGTGACGCTGCACGGAGCGGTAAGTCTTCCGCTCATCTGCTGCAGCCTATCAATCGCGCAAAGAAGTGGCTCCACCACGACCAACAGAGCGTTCAAAAGACCACGCAGCAGCAATACCCACTCCGTCGGAGCGTCCCCCGCGCAACAGGACGAACCTCCACCATTAGGTGGCTCCTCCCCTCGCTCACGCCCACGTAGGGCCTGCCAACGCCGGAACAACAGGCTTTTTTCTTCTATTTCAGTAATTTCATTGTGGTGCATGAGGTACTGTTTCTGCAGTAGTCTTATCGTCCTTTCTGAACCCTCTGTTATTTGTTGCCGCAGTCTCTCAGTTGTATTTACAACCTCCTCTACTCTTAGATGCATCGCTCGCACGTCGGACCTTCTCAATTTATTGCAATTCCACTGTTGAAGATAACTCCGCTTGACGTGGTTGATTTCCTCATAAAGTGACGCAAGTTGCGATTCCGTAACGGATCCGATGAGTTCGCATTTGGTTTGAAAGGACTGGAACTCCTGTTGTGTGATGCTAATCTTCTCCACCAGCGACGCCCTTTCACTCCGTAATTTCTCCAAATCGGAAGAAAGACTCCCTGTCTCTTCCCGTAACTTTTGCACGACGGAACGTAAGAGATAATTCTTCTGTTGAAGTTCTTTGAGACGTGCTCTCTTCTCGTACAGTAGTCTCACGGAATACTGCAGGTTTTTCATAACATCCGTTTGAACAGTTGCGCCGTGCGACGATCCCAAGTTGGATGCCTTCTTATGGCCCCTTACTTGTGCGGCGAAGGCAACGGCGCGGCGCTGCTCAAAGGTTTCGCTTGTGTCATTTGGAACAATCGCGGGCTGTACGGTTGTCACCTCACCTGTAATCCGATTGGAGTAAAAAATACGCCCTGTTCTGGCGGACGGCATCGCCACCCATTTCTCGCGAAGTTGTGCCTCCAGCTGAACCGCACTCGCCTCATTAAGTGTCGCCTCCCACCGCAGTTGAATTGGTAGAGCGTCATCATGACCATCGCCCGGTGTGGCACAAAAAATGCGCATGAGCGAGTTGCTAAGATAAACAAGAGATTTACACGACGAATCGAGTGTATTTGCATGTAAAAGGTCCGCATCGCCCAATGAAACAGGAATCACACGCCCCAAAGACAGCGTTGTTGCCTGCACCGCACATGTTAATTCCTGCAAGTTAATTGGCTGGATGCCACGCTCGTGCATGTAGCGCTGAACGTCCGGCATAACAAGCAGCTCCATGTGCGTTGCTAAAAGGAAAATTGGCAATCGCCGCAGGTGGACAAACATTGGCCACCACACCTCCCATAGGTGCAAAAACGACAAGGGATGCGCCGGGGAAAAGAGAAGCAGCAAGATATCAACCCCAGTAACAAGCGTCTGTGGCGGTGATGTCAGAAGCTCAAATGTGATGTGCAGTAGCGCCGTTTCATTTTCCTTCAATCCCTCATCAATTACATCCTGGCATATATGTCTCAGTGTTAGTTTGTACACATCCTCGCAGAGTTCCAGTATACCCACACGACGCCAGTATGCACGAAGGTGCTGCAACAAAGCCTCCGGCGAAGTGAGAGGGTCTCCAGCAATCACACACACAATCGGACGATGGTGTCTAGCCATTCACGCAGAAAAAAAGAGTGCACACAACAGTTGAAGGAAAGAAGTAAATTTCAGCCCAGACCTGCATGCGCCTCCAAACACCGCAGCCTCAACAGAAGCCAAAATAAATAACGAAGCGTAATAAATAAATATATATTTGCCTGGACCGCCGGCCGGACCCTCAACTTGTCTAAAGAAACCAAGCAAAACAGAATGAAGGGGCGAACGGAGGGGCAGTGGGTTCGCAATCTACTCAGCGCTTGCTCCAACCACATATATGCATTTATATATATTCGGACTGCCACTCTCGTGACATGCTGCGCGTTGTTGGGGTTAGAAATACTATGACTTACGAAGTGGCAGACTTCGGAGTCCTCCAGCCACAACACACCGCCGCGTGGTGGGAAATCAAAAAAAAAGAGGGTTGCTGGGACAGCGAGGAATGAACAAAAAATCAAAATAAATAACTTCTTCACATCGATGTCGGCTCATTGATTGCGTCCATCGCGGTCATCCAATAAGTCATAATAAAAAAAAAAGGAAGAAAAAGAAAAAAAAAAGAAAAAAAAGAGGAAAAGAATCGTAAAGAAATATATTCGTCCCATCAAGACATTTTATTCATTTAAATATCCCGCATTCCCCACGTAAATCCTCCTTTTTTTTTTTTTTTTTTTCTTTTTTTTCCTACAAATCCCTCTTTTCTCCTCTTCCCCCCACTCCACAAGAAATAAAAATACTCACGACAGAAGGAAAAAGAAAAAAAAAAAAAAAAAACATTTCTCAAATAACACGTATTTGCACACGGAGGAAAGGGAACAAGACGCAGACAAAGATATACCCGGCACCACAGAAAAGAAGAAGAAAAAAGAAAAAAAAAGACCCGAAGAAGAAGACAACAACAACAACGCCAATAGGCTCAAAATTCATCCAAAGCAAGGCAAAAAAATAAAATAAATAAATAAATAAATAAATAATTTTTTAGCGGTGGGCGTCAGTGCCCAACTCATATAAAACCGCTTTATTCTTTTCCGTCGTGTGGTTGCCGTTGAATTCTCGGTAATATTCCCTCCTTTTCCCCTCCCTTATTTTGTGTGTGCGTATTAATTTTCTATGAGTATATCTCCGTTTGCTTTGTTCACCATCCGCCCTCCTTCCCTCAAAGAGCAAAAAAAAAAAAAAAAAAGGAAAAAACGGCATGAAAGGCATTCAACAGCGTCCCACCCAGCTGAATGCATTGCCGCAAAATAATAACAATAATAATAATTCCCTCACTTCAATTCCTCGTCAGTTGTGTAATAAATTTGTCCTCCCTGTGGATCAACCTCTCCGTGTATGATTCAAAGAAATGACTTTCTCTCATCACACCCCCTCGGATCCATCCTGCACAAATAGACGTCTTGCAGTGACACTGAAAGGGTGGCATTGTGTCATCCATAAAAAGGCGACAATCCATCGTGAGTTCTTCACCCTTCGCGATATCACGCAAAGCATAAACATTGAGTGAGCGATTCGGACAAAACCCCATATTTGGATCACAGGAATGATTCACCGCACGCCAATCCGACGATTCAAGATCCCACAGGGCATAGTAATGACCCTCCGCACCCACGGGCCAGGCATCATGGAGAAATTCATTGTACTCCACCTCGCTCCAATTTGCCTTTACGTACGGTTTCGTGCATAAACGTACCAACCGGCCCTCGCCCTCAAAGATAATGCTGCCTGCGGGTATATTCCTTGTGGCACAAATGTAATACTCCCGTACCGGATCATAGGCACATCGAAAGAGCGGCTGCTTGCACTTATGTATTCGAATGGCTTCACTTATTTGAAGTTTTGCAAATTCCTTTTGTTTAAACTCCGGCGTAAGACGCAAGATCCAATCCGCCGAGCCCTCTTGTCCATATGGATACATGATGCCACAGTTAGGATTGATTTCAAGAAAAACAACCGTGTTCTTTTCACGATCAATACGAACATCCACGCGGCCGTACCCCACACCCCCCATCATGTGAAGAAATGCGGTTCTCGCAATGTGAATTATATCCGGCAACGCGGGATCGTCCTCAGAGACAAGACGCCAGATCATTCCC